TGCGCCTCGGACCGAGAACTTAAGCTCGAGTATGCACGAGATTGGACGCGATAAGGACGCTCGTCCTAGCACAGCTGTGTCTGTGTCTGCCGAGAACCCCGATGTTATGCAGACCCCGGCAAGCAGCATGGAAGCAAATAAGTCTTTGGGCGAGAGCAGGGAAACACTGTCAATTCCAGAGGCGCAGATAGAATCTCAGGCCATTGATAAACCAGCTGGTCCCGTCAAGATGCACTCTCCCGACATACCACCTGCACTGAGACCAGCTTCGTCGAGAAGCAACAATGTATCTACACCATCTGTGGCCGCTGCACCTCTGGAAACAGCACCATCCGTGACTCCTCTACCCGCAGCTGAGGCGAGCGAACCACCACGGGAGAGATTACCAAGTCCACCCCCGGTCGGCTCTCCGGAATCTTCCAAGTCTGTTGAAGAAGAGTCAGATGCACACCGCCCGGGACTGGGCCCGATGATCAAGAAGAAACCAAGCAGAGACATTGCGGGTGCGTTACGCAAAGCCGCCACTGCCTACGGCGCGTTCAAACCCCGACCTGGTGGTGCTGGTGAGAGACTACTGGCCGCAGCGAAGAAACAGCAAAGTATGTCAGATGAGCCGGACGGGATCACCGGCGTCGTTCCCGCACCCTCGCTTCGGGTTGCAACTGAGCCCACCCCTGGAGCTGCGTCTGGCACGTCCGAGAAAGAGACGCCCCCTACCCTTCCGTCTCCGATCAAAGAAGCGCCCTCTCCCGTGGCTCATACCGCATTGGAGCCTCCCACGGTCGAGGTTACACAACCTCCAGCGGCTGAAACTACAAGGATCGCTGTTGAAACTCAGGATGAAGCTAGAGATACCGCCAGGGATGAAGTCAAGACCGTCGCAGATGAAAGAGCAAGGTCTGTCTCTCCGTCGCCGAATGGCCGTCGTAGGCGTCGCGAAGACAACACTATAAAGTATTGTCAGGCGCTGGGGATTGATTCGAATATCCTGGAAGGACGGGGTGCAGACTTTGATGATATTTTGACTGATCTTGGCTGGAATGGACGTTTGAGCGATGACAAGAAGATTGAGGATCTCGAGGCAGACATTCGTCGTGAGATCGGGCGCGTCGAGGCCACAAGCTGGCTCGGTAACCTCGAACAACAGGAAGGCAAGGTAGACCAACTGGCAAGGTTAATTGACAAGACTATTGAAGAGTGCGAAGAGCTGGACGGCCTACTAACTCTGTACTCCCATGAACTCAACGTAAGTCTTCGCCGTGACTCTTGTTTCTTTTCCTGCTAATCATATTGTACAGACATTGCACGAAGATGTGTCGTATATCGAGACGCAATCTCAAGGTTTGCAGGTGCAGACTGCCAACCAGAAACTGCTTCATAATGAGCTTCAAAATCTTTTGAAGACGCTTTCTATCTCTGTCGCTGACTTGCAGCCACTCAAAGAGTCGTCGCTCAGCAATCCAGATGGTTTGAGAGAGACCGAGGCGGCTCTATCGACGCTATATAAAGCCATGCTGATGATTGATCCCGATATATGGCAGAACAAAAAACGGTTGACTGATGCTGCTGGGGAGCAAGGGAGCGTGGGAGTGTATGCCGACACGGAAATAGGACAGATGCGCGCCATCAAAGAGAAAAAGGAGGAATACCGAGCACAGTCTCGAATGTTCCTGCAACGACTCCGTCAGTTCATGGCTATTGCCTATAAGGTGGCCGAGCAGAAGAGGGTCGATGCTGCAGCGAATGGCCCCAAGGATCCTCTCAAGCCGGATAGCGAAGCTCGAGCGTATTTCCGTCAAGAGTTATGGATGTACAACGCTTTGATGCTTTTTGCCCGAGAGGTTAGCGGGTCCGAGTGGCATGGACTGATCAATCTATACGAACAACAGGCCAAACTGCCTTATCAGAACGAATTCCGGGACAACAACCTGGCGTGGAAGAGAGCCGGCAGAAAACCTAGTGGGGAAGAACAGGAGCTCCTCTTCACCCACCAGGAGAAAGAAAAGGACAGCGAGGGCATTACAATGGCAGCACGTAAGTTGACGGTGCGACGGGGCAAAACGATCAGGGCCGCAGCGGGTCTGCGGCTTACCCCGGGTGAAAAACAGCATGGGAGACTGGAGCCCTGCGAAGTCTTTGCCGGCTCACTTCAGGAAACGCTGAAGATGATCTCTGAAGAGCAGAACTTTATTGTTCATTTCTTCCACTTGAGCTCCTTGAGCAACATTGAGTTTTCCGACTTCGTCGCCTCTGGCAACCCCGATGAGCGACCACTTCCTGATTTCAGCGCCAGGCAGCCGCATGATCCCGACCGGGGGATGGCTAGAAAAGTCGAGCAGATCATGGACGAGCTCTACTCGTTCTGGTCGACGGACATGCAAAACCTTGTGGACTGGGCCATCCAACCGGATCCTCTGTAAGCCACATGGATTCTATAAGAATTACCACGGTATGCAAGCTAACACGTACATAGGCAAGGAATTGGGATTCTGTCTGCTCTGGAAAAGGCCATGTCGGACTTTGATGACACCAACCAGGAGTTCATTATTCGCTGCCTGCAGAAGCTGCATTCCCGTCTGAATGGCCTGTTTAATCGCTTCGTTGACGAACAAATCCGGGGAATCGAGGACACCAAGGTCAAGGTCAACAAGCGGAAAGGGGTCATCTCGTTCATGCGCGTCTTCCCCAACTTCTCTGCGGCGGTTGAGAATATGCTCTCTCAGCCGAACCAGGAGTTCTTTGACATTCGGGTCAGTGTCAATGAGGCATATGATCGGATCAACCGAGCTATGTGGGAGTCTCTGAAATTTATTGCCAAGGAGGCACCGACCGGAGTGGGTGCTAGTGCGGGTGACCCCGAAGACAAGGAAGTGCTGAACTACCATATCCTTCTCATTGAGAATATGAACCACTACATTGAAGAGGTGGATGTGCGCGGCCTCCCTGTCCTGGAGCGGTGGCGCGATCGAGCGCGCCAAGATTACGATGAACACCTGAAGCTCTACCTGGACCTGGTGATCCATCGACCACTGGGTAAGCTGCTCGAGTTTATTGATTCCGCTGAAGGGCTGATGGCCGCGGGCGGTAACCCAGCGGACATCGCGAGTCGGTCCAGCCACTCCCGGTCTGTTGCCAAGAAGGTGTTGGCGATGTATGATGGCAAAGAGATTCGGCGCGGAATTGAATTGTTGAAGAAACGAGTGGACAAGCACTTTGGAGATGCCGACGACCCGGGGCTCAGCCGCAGCCTGGTCTTGAAAGTGCTTCGAGCGTGCGAACGGCGGTATGAGGAAGCGTATGATCGGACGCGACACGTGTTGGATGCAGTCTACGAGGGGCAGCTTGAGCTGGAATGGCGGAAGGAGGATGCCATTGCCATGTTCAACCGGTAGTATTTTTTTCTTGTCTTTCTGTTGTATTGCTTCTCAGCCGCTTCCTTGTTTGTGTTATTCAAGGCTGCAGGAGTATTTATGAAGCATTGACATTGACGACTATAGAACTACGGCGTATTTGGATACAGCGTTCGATGGATGGTCTTCAAGCTAGCCTAATATGACAGACTTCTGTATTTGTACTACTGTCACTTCGACTGTGCAATCAGTCGATATATGCGAGTGAAGGGCTTTGTACTTTTCTTCCCAGGATCCGCCACCGAAGCTAAGAGAAAAGAACAGTATGATATCTAGTTTGGACTTGTATACCGACTGATTACGAGTCGGCACTAAACAATAGACTTAAAGAGAACCACAGCCAGCCATCAATGTGATTATTCTACATGATCTAATCACACTACAACATCAGACCAAACTCAATACTCCTGGATAGGACCAGAGCAGGATTGACTGGCAGTCACACCAGCCTATCTTATAGTGTAAGTGTAACGCCGCCTGAATGACAATAGCCATTATCAACATTCAACGCCGTAAAAGGCGTAGGCGTAGAGTCAGGACAACAGGCTTTATGCTTTTTCTCAGGCAGCCCAGCCGCACACCCAAAGCCACAGTTGATTTGCAATTTCACTGCCCAATTGACAATGGCCTCCTCTGCTGTCTTGTCATATTGGGAACTGGACTCCTTCTGCGTCTGCATACATTTACAGGCTTACAGAAAGATAGAGCAGGTTGTCGAGGTACGGAGTACGGATACTCCGTGCGCGGTGTGATTGATGCATGCGAACTAGCAGAAGCAGTCTGTATTTCAGTCTGTCTGTCTGTCGAATTTTGAAGGCCTACTCGTGCTTGTGCTTGTGTTCGTGCTCGTGCTGACCGCATACCTGACCCAAGGCCAAGAGGAGAGGGATGGAATGGATGGGATACACGGTAAGCTGTAAGCCGCATCCTAAATACTGTGGACAGGACTCGGTGGATGGTTGGGAATTGCACCAGAAATGCAGTTGCAGTCTGCAGTTTTGTTTCGGAGATACGGATATCCCTGTCTTGCCATTGCCATTGCCACTGTCACTGCCAGAGGTATGTGTTTAAGAGCTCAGTCTACTTTCGTAGATTAGCTATCGAGTATTTAGGTATCTATGAATTGTCTTGTACCAGCGTAGTAGATATCCTCATTAAGCTAATGCATCTAGGCTCATCGTCGTAGTACCTCTACTAGATATAGACGTGCCTGGGCTGAACTCCCTGACTATTGGTTCGATTTGAAATGATAAACCTACGAGTTCGTCAGCACACTTCCTACCATGACAAACAACTGACCGACAGCTGATGCAAAGACAGTTGACAATCCATTATCATGATATGGATATGGATATGGAATATAGTAGCAGATGATATGCTGCGGTGTGGGGGGTTCCAATTGGTCTATGCCCTAGATTCCCACTCAATGGCTTCATACTGGCAGACGAGGTAGGTCGATGGACCTGAGTCTGATTAATGATGTCGAATGAATTCAGCCAAAAGCAAACAAAATATCAGAATCAAATATACAGGCACCCCCTCCCCGCCCTCCGGAGTAGCAACTTACCCTCCCTTGACATCCACTGCATCATGTTCGGGACTCTGCATTGGAACCCTCACAGCAAAGAGGCCGAGTTCATCGAGTGGCCGCATGGCTCCTCGAATCCAGAAAAGAACCCAGCCTGCGATCGGTGCCGGGCCAGAAAGGTATGAAATCGTGTCATACTCTGGTGATTGTACTGATAGCTGGCTACCTTACAATATGTAGGTCAAATGTAGGAACCCCAATAACGAGGGCTGCACCCGGTGCACGCGCCTGGGGAAGACGTGCACGTTCAGTCCCGGCAGGCAGCGTGGAAAACACAGAGTAAGGCATTCGCCGCGTGAGCAGCCGCCATCGTCAGTGTCGGCGAGCTCTAAAGGCACAGGCACAGACAAGGACGAGGACAAGCCATCTCCTGCTGCAGCGCCAGGTATAGCAGAAAATAACGATAGCGAACGAGGACAACAATCACTGCTGGGCGACACCTTCGACTTATCCTTCCTCGCCGACTTTGACCATGAACCGAGCGATCGACACGGCGAGGACATCAGCTTAACCCTATTCTCCACCATCTTCACCAGCACCAAGACGGACCCCAAGCCTGAGCCTGAGCCAGAACCGGAGCCCAGGATGTCAATGTCAGCAACTCTCCTCTCCCCGCCCCTCACCTCAGATGACGAGATCCAGCACTGCCTCCCCGGAGCCGCCCACCAAGACCTCGACATCTGCATCGCGAAGACTCCATCCACCGCGTTCCCCTCCGGGCCATGCCAATGCCTTGCCGCCGTCGCCTTCGCGGTCGAGGATTTGGAAGCCAGCTGCACCACCGGCCACCGTGTCGAGCTGGACTCCATCACTGCGTACCAGAAGGAAGTTATCACGCGCTGCCGCTCGCAGCTCAAGTGCAGCGGGTGCATGGCTAGGCGGGAGACCCTCGTGCTGCTGGTTTTCATGCTCGAGAAGATCGTTGCAGCGTGTGGACGTATTGTAGCTCTGTACCGGGTGAAAGACGCACAGGTACAGCTACACCTACCATCCCCGTCTTCGGTGCTAGCCAACCCCCATGTCGATGGCAATGGCGACGGCGATGATGATCTTGACCTTGCGGCATGCACGCACGCCGGGGCAGTCGCGGCCACGTCCACCGACTGGCGGAAACTCCTCCTGGGCGACTATGAGATTAGCTCGCCGCTGGAATGGGAGCACCTGGTCCGCGTGCTCGTCTTCCTCCAGTTACGGGCTATGATGGAGCTCTTGGCGGATGTGAAGAGCACGGGGGGTGAGGTTCTGGGGGAGACGCTGAGCGCGAGCCTCGCGCAGGCGGAGATACGGCTCGGCGAGCTGGAGAAGGACATACTTATTCTATAGACTGGGAGCTTTCATGCTGACAGAACTAGGTAGTTTGGCTGCGCATTACCGTGCCAGAGGAAGAAGAAGATGAGGCGAGGAGGCTGATCATGCCTGCTCAGTGCCTCTCTCACCAATGGCCCATTCTCCTTCGAGACGGAACGCGGAGACGCCATGTTCAAAACGCCGTCTCGGTTGTCACGAGCGAGCACGACTGTAGCGAAGAAGAAGCCAGAGATCTGCAAGAAGCGCATTCGCGTCCAGACCGCCAAGTATGTCCGCGTGGTCAAGGAAACCCGGACCATAGACTCCCTCAACACATGGCTCAAGGTGAGCTCAAAGCCTCAAAGTCGGTCAAACCGATCAAGAGCATCATCAAGATACTACATAGTGCATCTCTTATGTAGCCTACCAATATACCGAAGCGACAGGTCTGGCTGCCTAGCTCAACAACCCGGCATGCCTTGGCATCTTCATCGAAGAGATCCAACAGCTGTATGTGGGGCAGAACTACGACCTCTACTGGACGCATAACATGCTATGCCCGTCCGTCTCAGAGTATCTGAAAATGGTCGATCTGAAGGCGGGCGGTCTATTTCGCATTCTGACACGGTTGACGGTCGCCGAAAGTCCTGTCAGGACAAGATGTCGGTGTCGGACGATGCTCTGAACCAGCCTAAGCTGCCTCATCGGGCGCTTCTTCCAGATCCGCGACGACTACCAGAACCTCGCGTCGGTGGACTACGCTAAGCAGAAAGGGTTTGCCGAAGACCTCAATGAAGGATAACTCTCATTCACACTCATCCACTGCTTGCGGGCGGTGGAGTCGGACCCCAAGTTTGCGGGGGAGGCGATGCGGTTGCGCACATTCCTCATGAAGAGGAGGCTTGAGAGGAAGCTCAGCAATGAGGCCAAGCGAGAGGTGCTAGCAATTATGAAGAAGACAAAAGGCCTAGAGTACACGCTCGGTGTTCTCAGGAAGCTGCATGGCGATTTCCAAAAGGAAGTGGGAAGCTTAGAAGCAAAGTTTGGTGAAGAGAATTTCTCATTGAGGGTGATGTTGGAGAGGCTCAAGGTGTAGAACTGTCATGGACCATGGTACTGTTCTGTGTCTCTAGTTAGAGATTAGAATGGACGAAGCCCCAATACAATATTACGCTACCATCCTGCTCAGCAGAGTCTGCTCGACATTTCTGGTCAATAAGCGCATATATCTGGGTTGAATTTGCGTTATAATAGAGTATTTACTCTGACAGATGGAATGTGATTGATGATTGATGACGATGATGCATCTAAGTACACGAAGTGGTAGACCGTAGGAGTCCTGATGGTCATGTGACAGTTCTTTAGAGTCAAGTTAATAGATGACACGTGACCAGACTCGTGCTTTTGGGATGTCCTCCTTGTTCTTCTCTATTAAGTAGCTAGGTCGGATCACCTAAACTCAGGCCATGATTCTTGGATTGGTGAAAATGGAGTAGTCTATAAAGACACTTCCACACCCACAGGCTCTCTATGCTGGTCACTATAGAGGGAGTATACAACGGCATAGTCTGCATTGAGTATGTCACTTCTCCGACAAGGCCAGGTTCTTCGGGGGAACCTAGGAAAATATGTCATTACGAAACAAATTCAAGAGACGGTGTGGTTTGCAGAGTATGTTTCAGGCTCGGGAAGGACAGCTGAATGACTTGTTTTCGCTCACTTCGACAGAAATCAGACAAAGGCAAAAGTTATAGCCAAGGGAGTCTACGGCCATCCTCGCGTTACGAATGAGCGAGATGTTCTTAAACGTTTTCAGGGTCGAACACCGTACTTAAGGCCCTTGACTGACGAAATTCAAGAACCGTCGGAACCACCAATTATCGTCCTTAGATACCTCGAAGATCACCTTCTGAGCTCATCGATAAAGAAGCAACTAAGTCGAAAGGAGCTGAAGCACGTTGCACGGTGCATTCTGGAAGCATTGAATGTACTCCACGAGGATGGATATGTGCATACAGGTAAGTAGATGAGAAATGGGTTTTCTAGTCTCCTGCTAATTCTCTTGGACCGAAGACGTCAAACCTGATAACATCTTCGTAAATTATAGAGAGGGAGATAACCGGTTTTCAGATGTCCAGCTTGGTGATCTTGGAGGTGCCTGTTCTACTAATAGCGCGATCGCTAAAGAAGGCACACCAATCGGAGCACCTATGTGGTCTAGTCCTGAAGTGATAATGGAAACGCCTTGGAATACCGCCACTGATATTTGGTCGTTTGGTGCTGTAGTGAGTGAGAACCATATCTCGGGCAAAAGAAGCAATACTGATGCGTGTTCACTTGCAGCTTATCAGTCTTATTTATGGTGGCAACTTTAACCTTTTTCGGCCACGTACTGTTCCATATGGTCATGAAGAATACAATCTGGAGGTTCTGAAGCAGCAATTCCGATACTTCGGTCCGTTTCCTCCGAAGTACGAAGAGATTGCAGGCCCAGAGACAGTTACAGCTATCTTATACCTCATGCAAGAGATCCCGCAATCTCAGACCACGCCATTTCAGCGAACAACAGAGCGTGAGGTATGCCAAAAAGACAAGGCATTCATTGGCAAGATTATGATGATGGATTGGAGAGATAGACCTACAGCAAAGGATCTTCTGCAGGACGAGTGGTTTCAAGAAGACGGAGAAGAATAATTCCTAAATTGAAGTTTTATATTCCGTATGACTGAATCACCAGGAAGGGTAGAACACGGTTTGTCGGGACGGGGTGGTCGCTGTCAGCTGCCAGGAGCAGAGGATGCTACAAGGGAGGTTCATTATTAGATAAAGCATCATGTTGCCTAGTGCGCGGCCTCTGGCCTTCTTCACTCCGAGTTTTGGCTGACTGAAGTTGTTTCGGTTGTGATGAGTTTCCCTGGTGGTTCACGTCAGCCACTGCATACTTCCCGTCAGCCATCCCCCTTGCCACTTCACATCAGCCAAATCATCTATTTCATCAATCGGGCACGTTCGGTGAAAGACACTTATTTTTGCCTACCTTGCTACATATAGGCTGGACAGCTGCACAGTCGGGTTTGAGCTGTTTTTGGGCTAGAAGATCAACGTGCAAGTACCTCTCCTCATCCCTGTCCGCACTGTTGCTGACCTCGTCTCAGTTGCCAACGGCTATCGGATAGTTCATCTCTCTGAACATTAGTCTACTTTTCCGGTGCATTTCCTCTTTCTGCATCAAGTGTTCATCGCAATAAGGAATTCTACACTCACAGGCCAGCTGCCAGCGGTCGAAGCAACAATGGTAAACCTTCGCACCGTCCAAGCCCACAATGCGGCTCTCACATCCCTAGCCTCAGGTATCGTCGCGGTGTTTGGTAAGTTCAATCTGCTCAAACATTCCACTCTCTACGATCAAACGATCACTAATACCCTCCAGTCGGCGGTACCTCTGGTATCGCCCTCTCCACGGCCCTCGCCCTCAGCCGTCACACCGCATCGCCCAAAATCTACCTCATCGGCCGCAGCCAGTCCGCTGCCGATGCTGCCATCGCCTCCATGAAAAGCATCAACCCCTCCGCCCAGCCAACCTTTCTCCAAGCCGACATATCCCTTCTCAAAAATGTCGACAGCGTGTGCGCCGAGATCGCGGCAAGAGAAAAATCAATTAACCTGCTCTTCATGACACCCGGATATTTGACGCTGAAAGGCCGGGACGAGACGCCCGAAGGCCTTGACCGAAAATTCGTGCTGCATTACTACGCGCGGATGCGATTCATCACCAACTTGCTTCCGCTTTTGAGCGCAGCCGCTCAAGACCCCTCTGTCGACTCCAGCGCCAGACTATCCCGCGTGGTCTCCGTCCTAGACCCAATGGTCTCCGTCCGCGCCGGCGGCGCCGGCACCCTCGACTTCTCTGACCTTAGTCTGAAGCATACCTTTAACCTGAAAAAATGTGGTTGGCATGCCAGTCTGATGGGTGATTTTTTCCTGGAAAACATGGCGCACCGATACCCGCATACCTCCTTCGTCCATGCATACCCCTCTGGAGTGGCCACGGGCGTGATGCGTGAACTGCCAGCTGGACGAGTACTGTCGGCTGTGCTGACGCCACTGTTGAGACCATTTATGGTCCCGCTCGATGAGAGTGGGGAGAGGCATTTGTTCGCGGCGACGAGTGGGATGTATCCTCCGAAAGCCGAGGGAGAGGGGAGGGAAGGGGATATCGCTGTTGGCAGCGACGGGACGAAGGGGAGTGGTTGCTACTGGTTGAATTGGGACGGCGAGGTGTTTCCGCCAAACAAGAAAATAGAGAGGACGAGGGGAGAGGGCGCGGTGGAGAAGGTGGTGCAGCACACAGAGGAGGTTTTCAAGCAGGTGTGCGAAGAGGGCAAGACGTACCCATGAATGCTTAGAGAGATTGCTCCGGGTCAGTTCCTGGGATGATTCAGATTGCTAGTTCAGCTCATTTGGCAAGCGACACGCATGATATCACCTCTGGGATACGGCCGCGGATTTGCTGTGGCCTTGCCTGGGGTTCTTCTAGTTTGCTATTGGTATATAATGTTTAATTCCCTTTTCAAGTCCTTGACGCGCATTAGAGGCTTATCATATCCTTTGGAGGACAATTGTGCTCCTTAGCTTAACGACCAGGGTTGTTAGCTGTAAGCAAATATGGCTCAACGACAAAGTGACACCAGGTTGGAGTCAAGACTTTGCTAAGCCAAGTAAGCTGCCATATTAGTGGAGTGTGTGGGTGTGGGTACCAGAGCGGGAGTGGGTGGCGGAAGGGCAGCCCAAAAGAGCTCAACTGCGACCAGCTTTGCAAGCTGTCATCTAGAGAGGTAGTTTAGTTCAAATTATTAGTAAAGAGACGAGCGTCTTCGTCACTTGAATGCTTGTCCATTGACCGGAGCGTTTACCAATAAGTTGTTTTGCTTGGTTGACTCTCTCTCTAGGTGGTCTCCACTGTGTATATATATCTGCCCAGGTCCACGTTCCATAATGCACCTTTTTCAGCACAACTCCAGAGGTCATGTACTAAGGCAGACAGATGCAAATACCAATAGGAAATCTTGACATTCTAAGCAATACTGTGTCTCCCTGCAAATGAGGAGCATTTTAGGGTTATCGACAGACGAACATGTTCGTTGAAAGAATCGAACGTGTTTCAGAGTAACTCCTGAACCGTACCAAAGACTCTGGCATTGTTTGACGATCTGCACTACTGTCTTATCACTGGTTGGCTGAAGGAAAAGTGCGTACGCAGTACCGAGTAAAGAGGCGATCATCTTAATATCATTATTACTTATTAGAGAGGTATTGACACTGTAGATAGTGATGTATATGTATCTAGGTGCGATCGGGTCTGGTTCAGGGGCCGATGCGGCGCCGTGGTTGGAGCAAACTCTTTTCCTTTTTATCAATTGGTGAGATGACGAGTAACAAAACCGGAGAGTTCAGATACATCGTACTGGACTATCGCTGATGTGGATTAGCAGAACGTGCGATAGAGATGCATGGCTTGATCGTGTCAATCTCGATCGAGGGAGAATATAAAGGCTGGGGTAGGGGTCGCCGGACTCGATCATGATTCGAGGGACTCGGGATACTGAAAGAATCGGCATAAATAAGTCCGATACTTGCAATTCAATATCGACAGTTATATCAACTGAATGAAATTAGGCTTCATATTTCGAAGAATCCAGCCTCCAGACTAGTAGACTAGTAGTATCTGGTAGGTTCGTGTGTTCAGCCCGTCCAGTGTGACGATCAATCAGCAGGTTTCCTGCCTGGGTGCCTGGGACTTTGCAGCCGGAACCCTTTTTCGTAGCTTCAATCTTCCATTGTGATCGCTTCTCTACTAACCTTTCTTCTCCCTTTCGCCTTCTCACTCTCTCTTATATCTATTATTGAACTCTTTCTGCCTTTTCCTGCCACTCTCAATCGGTAAGCATCCCGCCATCTCCTTCAATTCTCCCTTTCCCCCCTTCGAACGGCGATTTTCTCCACATTTCTCTGGCAAGGGGAACTTCTGCTGGTTCTCCACAGCGCAATAATTAATGCATCCACCGCTATCAAGGGGGCCAAGGCGGAGAAAATTAAACTCAAAGGAGAGGGGAAAAGAAAAGAAGAAAGCAGACTGACGTTTTGCATTTTCAATGCTGATACTGAATTTGTTTACAATTCTAGGTTTCCTGTTGCGCTCCTGTCTCCAGCCCTCGAGATCATGATCCCCCGTCACCGACGCTCTTTTCTGATTTAACGACGCACATTGACATCTTCCGTTACCTGATGTCCCTCCAGTCCTCAGATTGGCAAATCAACTCTCCTTAAAAAATCTCATACGTCTCCACGAAAGCCGTGTCGATCACACACATATTCTGGTATCTAAGTGTTCGCTCCGAGAAATCGCACATTCCACACCTGACTAACAGTCCATACATATCCCTAGAGGCAAACACTCGCATGTAGCAGCCCCTCATTCCTTCGATCGGGAAGATATCGCACTTTCAAATTCCGATCCGTTGCTCGCTTCCATCGATTGGCGCACCGCACCGCCCCTCATTTCTCGACGGCCGTTGAAGACCACTGCGGGGCTTGCCCTGTGTCGCTCGTTTCATAGCAGATATGCCCTGGCGGCCTCTGCCTCGGATTGCCTTCGCCGTTGCCATATATCCTTTCCAGCCGTCGACAGCGGCCGACCTGCCGCTAGAGCTTGGCGATGAACTATACATAATCGAGCAGGGCGGCGTCAATGGAGAATGGTGTCGTGGGTACCTGGTCGCGCCGCCGTCGATCTTGGCGGGTCTGACGAGCACCAAGGGCCAAACTCTCGAAGCGAGGGTTTTCTCCGGCATCTTTCCTCGCAATTGTGTTGAGATTCGGGAAGTGCTCGGCGACAGCGACGGGCAGAAAGCGCTGACGAATGGCGATCGATTGAGTGTTGATCGAGGAGCAGAGGATCCGGTGATAGACGCGAGAAGCAGCGTCGCTTACTCGCAGGATGATGAGCATCTGGCCGGTGAGGTATCGGATGTCATCATTGCCAAGAAAGGCAAACCCTCGCAGATCTTTATCCAGAGGCTCGAGGACGGTCAAGCAAGTCCGGCCTCCATCAATCACATCATCCAGACACCCTCGCTTCCTCATACGCCGGTGACGCCAGTGACCCTGACCCCTCGCGATCCGAATGCGCCCAAGCCAGCTGCCCCGGTTCCAATGCTCAAGATCGGTGACGAGACCCCTACCTCGTTGTCGGAGCCGCTGGTCGACGAGATCGCATCATGTCTGCGCGAATGGCATTCGACGAATCTCCATGAATTACTCTTGGCGCGTCAATATGACGTGGTGGAAGAGATGTACAACCTGGTCCGAGAATTGGACTTTGCGCGGAGGCAGTTGTTGCACGATGTGTTGACTGCATATGAGAAGGAGGCATTGCGGCAAGAAGTGGTCTGGAAGCTTGTTCGCGGTAACAAGATGCTGGGAGGGGAGGTGATCGTGCGAGATCCTGAGCAGAGAGGCCGATTATTGACGGGCGAAGATTGTGCTGTCAAATTGGCCAAACTCCAATCCGAGATGAGCATGTTGGACGAGAGTCCCACTCAGCACTCTGATACTGCCTCGCTACATCATCTCCTCCTCGAGGTTAATGCCGTCTCCGGTAACTCCCCAGGTCCAGTCACTCTCGCCGTGCATCTCTGCTCCCAAACCGATGGTGGCGCCCCTAAGCCCTTATCGGAGACATACCTGCTAGAGATTCCGTCTCCCGAGTCCTTCGCCAGCATGGGCCAGAGCAGTAAGTTGAAAACTCTCTTCACTGATTTATGCGCCACGGACATTGGGGATGGCTCGGCCAACGGTCCGAAACTATATCTTGTTGTTGAGGTGCGTGTGCCGGAGACTCCGGCAGTAGGCGCCCCTCTCCAGTCCAGACCGTCAATCTCTCGAGGTAATTCCTCGGCTGCGAAATCGCCAACATCCGCCGGCCAGCCGGGCAAGAGTAGCCTCAGAACTCGTCGCAGTATGATCTGGAGCACTAAGCCGCGGGGCCTTCAGAGCGCCGAGCCAGGGAAGGAAAGCTCCGCGGGGCCGCCCCAATCTTCCGAGAGTTCTTCCAGTACCAAAGAACGAGCCGATACCCAGTCTCCAAAGTCATCCACGACGCTGCGCACTCTTGGGGTCGGTCTGCTGGAAGTATCGCAGATCCTTCGGCAAGAGAAAGACGCTGAGCAGGTTGTCAACATCTGGTCTCCGTCGTCATGGTTGGAAGAGGGCGAGGGCCATGTTGATGGATTTGACGGGTTGGTACGCACGCTGCTCCCAAGCCCGAGCGGGAAATACGTGAGATCTGAGCGCGCGGCTCGCATACATCTACATATGTATCCATTCGTGGACTCCGATTCCGACGCCCTGGTCCGAAAGAACCCAACCATTATGCACAATGTGGTCCAAACGAAGCGGATCGGCTTCTCTCAAGCGCCATCGAAACCTCGGTCCGACATTTATGTGACCATTTCTCACGCTACCTTTCCCCCCGAAGCTCTCCTGTCACATCCCCAGGCGGGCCAGCTGCTGGTGCCGACAACTACGGGGCTTCGCAACCTGCAATTGACCCTCGAGGTGCGGGCAGCCTCAGGATCCCGAGTTGAGAAATGTGTCTTCCCATCGTCCAACAACGTAGCACACACAGCATGGCGGACTACGATTACGGAACGGGGCACGCCCTGGAACCAGACGATCCGTTTGAACGTGCCTACGGAGGACATACCAGGGGCTCATTTGATCATGAGCATTGCGGACGCTCCCGAGTTTCCTTTCGCCCTGGCATGGATGCCATTGTGGGATAACCAGGCATTCATCCGAGACGGTCCTCATTCTCTGCTGCTGCATGCGTACGACAAGCTCACGTCCAGCATCGAGAACGGCAAGGGTGCCTACCTGTGCCTCCCGTGGAGCTCACTCGGAAAGAACGAATCGGCCAAGGATGAAGCGATTACTGGGCCGCTGGCCACACTGCGCTTGGAGACTTACCTGTGTAGCACTGAATACTCCCAGGACCAGGTGATTCTGAGTTTGCTGCACTGGAAGGACCGGCCGGTAGATGAGGTCTTGGAAACCTTGAAGAGGGTTCTGTTTGTGCCTGAAATTGAGATCGTCAAGCAGCTGAGCAGTGTGTTTGATGCGCTATTTGGGATCCTGGTGGAAAATGCCGGAAATGAGGAGTATGAAGATCTGATATTCAACAATCTTGTGACAGTACTTGGTATTGTCCATGATCGACGGTTCAACCTTGGCCCGCTGGTTGACCACTATGCTGACAAGCAATTTAACTTCCCCTTTGCTACCCCCTGCCTGATGCGAAGCTATCTCCGTCTCCTTCAGGCTAGTGCCGATGTCCAACACTCGCGGAGTCTGCGTGCCACATTCAAGGTCGGTCGACATGTCCTCAAATTCATCATCAATGCCAGGCAGCAGCAAAAGGCCAAGGAGGAAGGCATCGGCATTACTCGCGTCCAGTCCACTTTCAACCGGGACTTGCATACCATCTTCAAATCGCTGGAAGTCCTCATGAGGAATCCGTCACCCGCCATGGTTGGCAGCAAGACCCTTGTCGTGCAGCATTTCCACACCTGGCTCCCGGAGCTATCCAAAGTCATTGGCAAAGACGAGATCATCATGATTGCGCTCAGCTTTATGGACTCTTGCAGCGACGTCAAGGGGCTTCTGGTGCTGTACAAGTTGGTTCTGATCCAGCATTACACGCAGCTGGAGATATTCGAATCCGGAGACGAAAGACGGACTTTGATCTCCAGTTGCATTGGTTGGCTGGAACCGTACTGGGGAGCCGCTGGATCTATCACCGACCAATATCGCGATCAGGTCCGGTTGAGTTGCGCGATCGTGGCACAGCTTTTGAAGCAGCCAGATCCGTTGCTGTACGGATTCATGCCAAATATCGTATCGTCATACTATTCCATCATACCGGACGGTGTGGAGGAGACCAGCTATCTGTCTCTTCTCTTCAACAAGTCTTTCCCCTTCCAGGTCAAGGCCTCCAAAACCAGCCAGAAATTCGATGAGGCGCTGGTCGAATTGTCGGCGATTATGGCTGCAACGGCAACGATCGCCAAGCCGAAGAAGCCGGCACTCAAGGGTCCGGAACTCGCTACGTTTATTTCCCAAGCGTTCGAGGTTCACAATTCGATTTTGAACTGCGAAGCGTATCCCGAGACTTGGTTTAGTGTGCATGTGTACAATCACCGAGCTACTGTAAAGAGCCTGGAATATCTCGCTACACTACTGATCAGCAAGTTTTTGCCCGCGCCGGATGATGCAGAGAGCTTTGACACGAGGCTATGGGAGAGCTTTTTCATGACTTTACTCAAGGTCGTGTCTAGCGATGCACTGGCCTTGGAAACATATCCCGAGCAGAAACGACGGGCCGTCTGGAAGATCGCAGGCGACGTTCGCGAGCAGGGCGCGGAGCTACTGCGCTCCAGCTGGGAGGCCATCGGTTGGGAAACGACAGATGACGACAGGGAGCGTTATGGGCTGCGCAAGCTCGGCGGCTACCAGGTCCAATATGTGCCTGGCCTCGTGGCCCCTATCATCGGACTCTGCCTCAGTGTACACGAGGGATTACGACATGTCGCAGTGGAAATCTTACGGACCATGATTCTGAGCGAATGGGGTCTGAACAAAGAGCTTTCCATCATCGAAACCGAAATCATATCCAGCCTGGACCACCTCTTCAAAACAAAGAAGGTGAACGAGAGCATTATCCAGAAGCTGTTCGTCAGCGAACTCCTTCAATACTTCGAGGGCTGCGCTGCCTTTGACGAGGACCTCTCCGAGGCCGTCAAAGGCCTCATCGCGACCGTCGACGAACTTTTGGATCTGTTTGTCGCATCACAGAGCGGCTCGATGGCCGAAAGTATGCATACATTGCGGTTGATGGAATATATGAAGGATATGGGCCGGGAAGACATCTTCATTCGCTACGTCCATGAATTAGCGGACTTGCAGGCGGCCGCGGGCAACTTCACCGAAGCCGGGCTTGCCCTCCAGTTCCACGCCGATCTCTACGACTGGGACCCGAGGCGAGCAGTTCCCGAGGTGCTTGATCCTCCGTTCCCGGCGCAGACGTCGTTCGAACGCAAGGAATCGCTGTATTTTGCCATCATCCAGCATTTCGAGGATTCCAGGGCCTGGGCCCATGCGCTTGTCTGCTACAAGGAGCTTGCGGAGCAGTACGAGCACACAGTGATGGATTTTGCGAAGCTTTCGCGCGCACAAAGCTCGATGGCCAAGATCCACGAATCCATTGCCAAGGAGGAGAAGCAGCTCCCTCGCTATTTCCGTGTGGTGTACAAGGGGCTCGGGTTCCCACCTACCTTGAGGGACAAAGAATTCATCTTCGAGGGCGCACCAAATGAAAGAATGGCTAGCTTTGTTGATCGAATGCAGCGAGAGCATCCTGCGGCGCAGATTGTCTCTTCTGGCGAGGTGCAAGACTACGAGGGTCAATTCTTGCAGATCACCTCCATCAGCGCGCACCGGGATATGACGCATCCGGTCTACCAACGGTCGAAAATTCCACAGGCCGTCAGGGATCATCTTTTGATCTCGGAACCTTCTCAGTTCTCTTCAACGTTGAAGAGACACGTCCGCGGCACGGATGTGCAGGAGCAATGGGTGGAAAAGACGATCTTTACGACTGCCGAGCCGTTCCCGAATATCCTCCGCCGGAGCGAGATTGTCGCCGTGGAGGAGGTTGCGCTGTCGCCGCTGCAGACGGCCGTCGAGCGAACGTGGCGTAAGACGCAGGAACTGTCGTTGCTCGAGCGACGAGCTGCCTCGGGCGAGGATGCGGGCCTGTCTAGTCTGACGGAGGCGCTGCAGCAGCTGCTTGATCTCAACTCTTCCTCGGCCAGTTGCGTGGCTCTCTATCGACAATTCCTGGCGGAACCTGATGAGGACGAAACTGAAAAGGCCGAGGAGTCGGCTGACCCGATGAAGAACGCTTTGGCCGTGGCTCTCATCGACCATGCCTTGGCCATTAAACATGCTCTTGCGCTGTATGCCCGTCCGGCGCACCAGGCCACCCAAGCGGAGCTCATGCGTCAATTTGAAGAAGCCTTTGCGCCGGAACTCGCCTCGCTTAGTCCTGTGGTGGTCGAGTCCCCGGCAACTCAACGCCAGTCTCCGGTTTCCGCAGAAAGCCGGCAAAAGCAGTCGCAGTCGCGCTCTATCAGTCCGCGCAACCACGCGCGCAAGCCTTCGGAGAAACCGTCCGTTAGCCAACGGATCAGCATTATGAACCCTTTCAAACGAGCGAACCACGCACCGAACGGGTCAGTGGCCACAGTGATTGACTTGAAGACGGAAGACAAAGACCATGACGACGATACTGCCACGATCCACAGTCGAACCACCGCTCAGTCCGGGACTCAGACGAAACGCCGGAGCTTTTTTGGGGAGATGGTCCACAAGCACGGCTCATCCATTGCCGCCTCTACGGAGGAAATACAAAAACAGCGGTCGAGAAGCGGTTCTCGCTCGCAGGACAACCGCAGTCGAAGCGGATCCCAATACCACGGGCCGTCTGGAGATGATTCTATCACCAGCGTCAAGGGGGGAGGGGTGGTCAGAGCCACTTCTGTCAGAGACAACCACTCGGTACGGTCTCCTGACCGCAGTCAGGTCGGATCGCCCGGCGGCCATTCATATAGCCAGTCTCACAGCGGAGGCGTCCGCGACTCTGTGATGAAGAGGTTGAGCCTCTTCAAGGGAGTGGGTCGCAAGACCAGTCGTCTGGAGATCCGACCCGAGACAAACGGCGTTCTTCATGAAGAATAATCAATCCTTTTATCATTAATGTTGGACATTACACATTAGTCCTCTTTCTTCTGTTCCAGCGTCAGTTATATGCATCTGCACATGCGCAGGCAATATGCATTGAGCGTTACATTTACTCAGCTGAGATCATTCTTTCTACCTTTTATACGTGGATATACTTGTCTTTGTCTTTTGTCTGTCATGATTGATACCTTTCCTAGATACCTCTGCAATATTATAGCAAATAATGGATTGTCTCACCTGGCTCTTCTGCTGTAGACAACCTGTACTCGTAGATATACACCCACAGGGGTTACCTACGAAGCAACTGGTAAATCCAAATCCACCACCCACGGGGCATTCACAGCCCTATACCTTTCATCCAGCACACTCGCATTCACAAACAGTGTCTCCTCCCCAAACCGCAGCGGCCGCCCCGAGTCGACGCTAACATCCACATACGCCCCCCGCTCCTCGCGCACCCCGTCCTCATCGCACACCACCCTCGTCCCTCCTAGAGCCATATCGGTCCCCCACTCCCCTCGCAGCGCACCATGCCCCTCATGTATATGCCCAAAGACATGCATCCGCGGCCGCGCCCGCTTCACAGCAGCAAACAACCCCTCGCAGCCTACACTGCCCCCATTGACAACGGTATCAAGCACCCCCGCCGGCGGGCCATGCGTGATCATGATATCCACAGCTGGGAAGTCGGGAACTACACCCGTCGTCCCTCCTGCTACTGCTGCATCTGCATCTCCAGCTGGCGTTTCCGCAGCAGGAAGGTGGTTGAATCTATCCCTGCCCCGCGGATACGCAAACGCCCACCCACAAAACGCAGGCGTATACGGCGAGGCATACACGCTCAGCGTCGCGCCGGTACTCAGCGTGAAGCTATGCATTCCCTCGCTCAAGTACCGGATCCCCGCGGCGCGGGCTTCAGGACTGCAATACAACTGCTTTATGGCGGCGGGATCCTCGCGTCCGGCGCGGGTCTTGAAGCTGGTTGGCGGGAGGGCGGCGTAGTATGCCTCGTCGAGGGTGATGTCGTGGTTCCCGGCGATGACGAGCTTGAGTTCTGCGTCTGCGGCTTTGAGGACGGAGAGCGTGGTTTTGTGTTCGGGGAGACTGCCGATTGTTGTGAGGTCGCCTGCGTGGATGAGGATGGTGGCTTTTGGGAGGGGATGGCGGTAGGGGTGTGGGGAGGGAGGGGGGTGGGGGGGGGGTGTTGTGGGTGTCTGAGATTAGGAGGAGGCGGGTTTTTATTGTTTTGTTTTCCATGACTTGTATTTGGTACAGTGTGTAGATGTTGTGTAGTTGTAGAGTGGTGAAGATGATTGTTGTATCTTGAGGGGGATGGCGGAGTTTTCTGGTTGCCCGGGGTTGTACGTCAGAAGTCTACTAAACGATCATTAAACTATCATGCGAGAAATAACATAAGGATCATCCCATTGATTGACAGCTCAGAGCTCTACAGACATTGCATATGCCGATGCCCAGATCATGATATTTTCTGGAAAACATTGCTGAAACTCCGAAACCACCCTTTTACACGACACGCAACGCAATACCCCAAATAAATTTTTTCCTTTACTTGCGGATAGCACGCTGGTAGAAAGCCAGCTCATCACCCTCCAGGATGTAACCGTCGACACGACCGCTCTGGCCGGGGCGGGAGGCGATGACGGCGTACAGACGACCGGACTCGAACTGCTTCTCGATGGCGGACTCGACCTTGCCGTGGTCGGCGAAGCGAGCGGCCTGCTTCTTCACGACGCTGTTGCTCTTCTTCTCGGTGGTGGTCTCGGCGGCCTTCTGCTGGCGTCTCCGGCCGATGGGCTGGCCGTAGTGAGCCTCGTACCATTGTCTGAAGGGAGCGGCATCAATCTGAACGACGGCGGACTTGGTCAGGGTGTTGGTGCGGACCAGTTCGTTGTTGGAGGGGTGGTAGGCCACAACGATGACACGGGTCTTGCGGGAAACGCCCTCAGAACCCCAGGAGAAGTTGCCCGACTCGAGACGGAGGGCACGGAACTTGCGGTTACCACCACGGGTGCGGACCAGGTGGATTCTCTTAGCACCGATACGGGTGTTGGCGGGCTGGCGACCCTTCTCGAACGCCCTGCAGTATTCGTCAGAGATGTCAACAAAAAGGATGACTCGGGGTCATACCTCTTCTTGCGGTAGGTGGCCCTCTTCGCACCGGTGGCCGAACGCTTGTGGCGGGAGTCGCGTGAGATACCCATGTTTGCGGTTGATGTAGGGAACTATCGCAAGATCAGGTCAGCCAAAGCCCTGATTGCAATCGAAACTTTTGCGTCCGGTCCTTCAATTTCTTCCGTCGCTCGCGTCAAGTACCGATATCGAGTGCTCGCAACAGTGCCGAACCAACAGTCGTCAACCAGCAGTCGTGAACCAGCAGTCGTGAATCAAGCAGACGAATTATTCTTCGAAGATAATCCAAATTGCGCTGTCTTGATGTATCGTTGTCGTCTGTTGCCTTCTTCCGAAACCGCCAACGAATTGTCACGATACACCGTGGACCGACCTCTCGAAAGCCGGAAGAAATTGAAAGACTGAATGCAAGCAAGCAGCAGGTTGAAACTCACCTCTAACTCTGCAGCCCTTCACCAGGAACGCAGCGGGCAAGGGTCGTTGGGTTGTCGTGGAGTTGATGTTGCTGGTCGTCGACGCTCGGGAATTTCGCAGTGTGGCTCACTGGCTCTTGGCTCGCTTGTCGATTCTTGCCCTACCCCAAAGTGCGCGCTAGCCCGATGTGGTGGGCACGTGACTGCACCTTTACTCCACTCTTCGTAAACAGAGTAGTCAGCTCCGTAGAATAGATGGAATTATGATCGAGGTACAATAGACTACAGTACATCCTCTGGTGGTATCAATCACTCCTCCGCTCCCTCTTCGTCCGCTCCTCCCTCACCATCTCATCAAACCTCCGCCACACCGGTAATCCCTCCACAAAATTCGACGCAATCCACGCAATCCACAACCCAGACGCAACCCGCACCCCATGCGGCCTCAACCTCTTAACCGCCAACAGCGTCGCCTCCACCAAATGCACGCCTAGAATCAACCCAACCACCACCGGCGCAACGTCGTAGCAGAACCGCGTAAACACCGGATACCGGTCCAAGCCCAACGTATCGTAGAACACACTCCCCGGCAGGAAATTGCTCCGCCGACCAAGCACCACCAGCGTAGCAACCACCATGGCTAGCGAGACGATCTGGAGCCCCTGCGGGGGCCGGTACTCGCGGATAGTAATGTCGGAGAGGCCGAGGCGCTGAAGGGAGTCCTTGTGCATGGCGACGACGCGGGCGCGGGTTTCGGAGAGGGAGGTCATGGGTGGGTTGATGGGGACGCTGTAGCGGGTTCCTTTTGCGGTGATAAGGAGGTCGGAGAGGGAGATGTCTTGGAGGATGGCGGGTTGGGCGTAGTGGGCGGAGACGCCGCAGTACGCGCGTAGGTAGAGGGAGAGTGAGTCGGCATGGCTGCTGTTCATGTGCTTGATTATGAAAGACTTGGTGGTTGCATCGGGTGCCATTTCGTCTCTCTCGATCTGAGCTCAGTGGATGAGGTTTTGAGTGTTGATGGTTGACTCCTTATCTTATAGACTCTAACTGATGATCAGCAAGCGTACCTCGGCTGAGATTGACTACCGTCTGTTGATTCATGTGTAGCACTTACCTGGGTCAGGTTTGAAATTTGCACGGTTGCACCATTAACAGACCTCAAAGAGTCCGTTTGGAATAGACCTTGTCAATTGGATGTTGACAACTGTCGCAAGATGCGATACCTATATATACATCACGTGAGTGACGAGCGTTGACATATATCTAAGACACAAACCATACTACAAGTATAAAGATTCGATTTTCTCAAATCTCTTTCGTGATGTTCAAACTTACTGGAGCAATTCATTGTGCTCATGGATGAAAAGATTATCGATTTCAATGTCGCACCTTCTGTCTGTCGATCATTCTTCCGTGTACTTGACAACAGCGACTACTCTGGAAGACATTGCAATCCCATACGTTATTCAGTTGACGCATATGCTAAGATATCATAAACATCCATAGGGACACCAGTTCAAACAGAAGTACCACGCTGAGTATTAAAAGGGTAACCAGACTCTATTGACAACATGACAAAGTAAAGCTATTCAATCGTGACGGATCATCATGGTTCATGAGGATGACAGGGCAGTACAGCTGCGAGCTGTCTCGGCAAGGACAATTACGCACTGCATCGAGCGTCAACTCCTGTTCGAATTGAGCGAATGAAAGCAAGTCATAGGGAGGGGGCAACGGGGGAACATACATCAAAGCCAGCGTCAGATCACCGTGGATATGAGCCTTGAGCTCGACCTCGATTTCGAGATTCAGCTCCAACTTGAGCTTCATGCCTTCTTCGTCGTCCAGACTCGAGCCCTGCTTCTCTTGCGGTACCACGTTCATTGACCCGTTCTGGGAGAGGGATTGGTTACCGCCGGCGGGTTGGTACGGTTGCATTGCCTTGCCGGAGGCGACTTGGTTATCGTAGTCTTCATCGTCGTCGTCGTATTCATCAGAGTAAAAGTCATCTTCATCGGAGTAGTCCTCGTCATCATCTGCTTCTTCTACAGCGTCTTGTTTTCTGCTCTGTTGTTGTTGTTGGCGCTGACGACGTTTTGCCTGAGCCTTTGGATCCTCTGCTTCATCGCCGGAGACCTCGTAGTCGTCGGTTTCGTAGTCTTCGTCGGAGTAGTCATCCGAGTAATCGTCTTGCTGGAGGGTGGGTTGTTTTTGCTGTTCTTTTGTTTTCTCTGCGGTGGCCATTGTGTATATAGTAGTAGGCAGAAGATGTATATAGTCACAGTCAAGTATATGGTCGCAATCAAGGCCGTCAAGTTGGAAACAGAATGAAAAGGCAGAATAGAATGACTTTAGTCAACAGTTAATAAGGAACAAGTAAAATAGAACTGTTACTCAAACCAGTCTACGCATAGACAACCCTACACCACGCATCGTCATCATCATAAGGATATGCGGTGATACTTGATCGGAGCCGGGAAGCCACCTACGCGATGGTGTCGGGCCCTTGGATGTGCCGCTCATGACGTTACTGCATCATTACCCTGTCGGTTTCATAATATAATTGGATACTGACTCGTTTCTAATTATGACTGACAGGTAATTATTACTTTACTATGATATGAAACGGGATCCGCCCACTCTTCTGTATACCTGGGCAGGTACCTCTCTAACTCCGCCTGTATCGATGTATCCATGGACCAGAAAAGGTCAAACTTGTTATGACGGCAAAGAATCTTCGCGTGCTCGGTACCGTTCGATTTGTCCCCTGGTACAAAGTATTGTCATTTCCGAATATCCACGGCTAAATCTGCCGTAGAGGTACCTAGGTATAGGACGCGTACTACAGTAACAGAGGTACCTTAGATGTACCTAGGTAGCCTGACGTCGAGTGGCGTCATTGTACGCTTCATATATCCGTTATGGTACTCATAAATCATAATAATATAATAATAGCACCAAGTGGAGCAGCCAACCACACTATCTCGTGCCAAAATTCTCCGAGCGTCCCTCTGTTGATTCGCTTGACTTTATCCATCCTGACATCTGCCGCTACTCCAGACACTACGAACTAGCTTGGAGTAACTAGTACATACGTCGTACGGCCCTGCATCTAGACGTCATACTGAGCCATCTCTTGTTCCGTGCCTCAGTATCCATAGAGCAGCCAAAACCTGTGGTTGTGTAATGTGTGTAATGTCCATCCAATCTCCCAGTCTATGTCAGTCCAAGATGACGCCGAACCAGCCTGTCATGTCAACCGACTGACGTACGAGGCGGACTGCCCGGTTTCCCTCCCTCCACTACAGCCATCCACTGTCCCAATCATCTCATCCATATAAACGACCCCCCCAGACCAAGACAAGGACAAGAGTATAAACGCTGTCATCCCCTCCATCCTCCCACCATCTTAGTCTCTTTCTCTTTTCTTCCACCATGTCCGATCAGGAAAACACCAGTCGTCCTTCTAGTCCGACTCGGAACCCTACCCAGACAGAAGACGGTGCCCCCCCAACCCCAAAGACAGATACCCAGACACCAACAAAGAAGCCTCCCAAGCTAGGCAAGAAGAAGCAGCAGCAGGAGGAGCCTCAGCCTCAGCCTGAACAAGCAGAAGCACAAGACCAAGAACAAGAACCGGAACAAGAAAACAACGAGGGTCCTCCTGAAGACACCAAGGAAGAACCCCAACAGGATACAAACAACAACAACGCCAACGGCGAAGCCACAGACCAACAACAAGAACAAGAACAAGAGCCACAACAAGAACAACCCCGCCCCCGCAGAAGAAAACCCCAGCGCTACCGCCCCGACTCAGACACAGAAAGCATCCCCCGCCCCGAAATGGACAACAACGCAATGGAGAAGCCCCGCCGCCGGCGTCAGCGTCCCCAGACGGAGCAGCAGCAACAGCAGCAACAAGACGGCGGCCCACTCGGCGGCCTCGGCGGCGTGAACCAGGTCGGCGACCTTGTGCAGAACACCGCGGGGAACGCGCTGAACGGCGTGACGGGGTCGGCGGGCAAGGCCGTCGGCGGGCTGCTGGGCGGGAACAAGGAAGAGAAAGACGATGGAGGACGGGACGAGCAGTTGCGGCTGCGGCTGGATCTGAATCTAGATATTGAGGTGCAGCTCAAGGCGAAGATTCATGGTGATTTGACGTTGGGATTATTGTATGTCTCCCTTTCCTTTGCCTCATATGATGAGTGTGGGTGCTAACGTCTTGTCAGGAACTGATTTCTTCTTTCCTTCGTGGTTGTCGCTGGATGCAAAACCTAGACTGTTATGATCGTATCGTCTTGTCTTGATTGCTTTGCTGGAGCTCGTTTCTATCCCATCCTCTGTATATTCAGCTGCGTGTGCAGTAGCTAGCTTACTATACCTACATGGCGCTCATGATTAATGACATTACATGACCATTGACTATTCCAAGACAACACGTGTAGATACCCTAAGCTAATCTGTATACACTCTACCATCTAAGACTACCTACAACCCCGCAGTATACATCAATCCATACCCAACCGTCACAATCACCGCAAACGACATCAAACTGGCCGGGATACCGCGAGTGAAGAAATGCCGCACGTGGAGGTACCGTTGACCCGTTTGCGGGACCTCGGTCATAATAGCAGCTGTACATGTTAGCATTACGCTTGAGAAAAAAGTGAAAAGGATGCATACTCATATTGGGAAACCCGCTGGTCGGCAATGCCATGGCCACCGAACACATCAACGCACTCGCCATCACCAGCAAGTTCGGATGCGGGTCGTCCATACCCACGCCAATCTGGCGCACCAGCGGCAGCATGATCAGCGCCGCAACCGTGTGCGAGATGAACGTCGCCATGACCAGGATCAGCGCCGAAAACACAATCAGAACCCCGTACAGACTGAAGTGGTCGACGCGCGCGGTGATCGCCTTGGCGATCGTGTGCAGCAGCCCGGACGAGGTCACTGCTTTGCCGAGACAGAGACCGCCGGCCGCTAGGATGATGATCGTCCACAAGAAGTTGTTGAAGTCCTCCTTGTTCAGGATCCCCGTTCCAAAGAACAGCACCATCGGGATGATGGCGATCACCCCCATATCGCCAAAGACGTGCTCGAGCTGATGGCTGGCACACCACAGCCCGATGGTGAACAGCGTCACAATCGTGACAAAGTACTGCACTCCCGAAAACCGGTCCTTGACCGGTCGCATCGGCACAATGGTTGTGCCCCGGCTGGGATGGAACGTAGCCAGCAAGAGGAGCCAAATCAAAAGAATCGAAATGATGCAGACGGGCAGCGAAACAAAGAACCACGTCCCCCAGCTAATACTCGGGTACATGTTCTGCAGCGCGATGATATTCTGGGGCGACGCAATCGGCGACGCGGCGCCTCCAACATTGGCAGCCAGCGCAATACCCAGCACAAGGGCTTTGGCAAAGTCGGAATCAGGAGGGAGATTACGAAGTAGAGGCTGAGTGAGAGGTTAGCATCTATCCAAAACTAGCAACCCCAGAAAGAGGGGACATACCTGAATAATGGAGTAGCAAAGAACCGGCGAGGCCACATTGCTAATCCACATACTAAGAAACATGCTCACAAACATGTTGGTCAGCAGAACAACTTTGGGATTGGAGCCGGCCCTGCTCAGCACAAACATGGCCATCCGACGAGCAATGTCGTACTTGGACAACGCAGCGGCAATGGTGAATCCTCCCAGCAGGAGCATGATCACCGGCGTCCACATCGCGCTGAAAGCCGCGCTCGTGGCGTCCTTTGGTCCCAGACGCTGGTACGGCTTCTCCGCGGACTTCATAATGCGCAGCATGACGACCAGGAAGGGTATCAAAAGGGACGTCACGAAGAGGGGAATGACTTCTGTGGCCCACAACAGACTGACAAACACAAGCATTGCCAGGCAGTTCTGCTGCTCCGGTTTATCCATGATCGGAGCATAGAGCAAGACGATAAACACCGCCAGAATGACAATCAGAGTCCCGAAACTCAAGCTGCAGAGCCACTCGGGCACGCTATAGCGACCAAACGGCGTCTTGATCTCTTTGGCTGCAGCCTCCTGCTCATCACCCTGTCGTCGTGCGGCAGCCGGGTCCTCATCCATTCCCAGCAGTGTCCGACGGATACCAACATTCGCGGCCTGGGCCTTGCGCTCAATGCCAATCATCTCTCGCCAGACAGTATTCCGCTCCCAGACAACGTGCTCTCTCAGATGCAGTCGCAGCTCCCGTTTGGCCAGCGGCAGGTCGCCGCCCGTAATCACGTCCGCGTAGAGCTGCTCGACCCGGGCGATCACGTCCTCGATCTTCTTCATGGTCGAATCCGTAAAAGGATAAGCCGGAGAAACGGTGGAGCTCATGTACTCCCGCCGCAAACTGCAGTCGAGGATCTTGTCGAACTTTTTCAACGCCTTGGAGAACCCAGTCTTGTTCAGCTGGATGTACGACTTGAGGCCGCACAGCGAGACATAGACATTCACGGCCCGCTGCTTCAGCGACAAGCCCTCGTTGTACAGGTCCAGAAACCGCGGATCCTTGCAATGCTCATCATGCCCACCGCTCCCTCGCCGAACAAACCCCAGAAGCATCGAGTCAGCCATGAATCTCGAATCGCTCATGTCCGAGCGCGACCGAGCCGTCAACGGCACCGTTCTCTGCCCAGCCGGCGGCTGATGCTCGTCATCGCTATCCGCTCCATCATCGTCATCCGTCTCCTCCGACGGTAAATCGCGGTACGAGCTGCCGGTGCGCGGGCGCGAGTGAGAGCCAGAGCTCATCCTCCGCCACTTGACCATGGCGTCACTCATGGGGTCCACGTCCGCCCCGTCCGTCCTGGACGAGTACTCCTCGGCATCGCGGACAACATCCTCCACCTCCTTGAGTATCTCCGACTCCTTGACTTCGTAGAAACTGCATATCTTCTCCAGCTCTGCGTTCAGAGCCCGCCGAAACACGGCCTCGGGCGTAGGTGCCTCGCTTAACAACGGCGCGGACTCGACATCCGACTGTGCCTGTCCGTTCGCTTTCCGAGCATGCTGCTCGAGGGAATATATCCTAAACGCATTAGCATTAGCAAGTCCACAGTCCAAAAAAAAGTGAACAAAATCTCACAATTTCTTCAAATTGCTATACGCAATGTAATAAGCACTCCAGTCCGGCACCGCATTAAACTGAATACTATGCGAGAACTTCATCTTCGCTTTCGTTTGCCCCCCCGCACTTTCCTTTGCTGAAGCCTGAGCCTGTCGGCGCCGGAGAGCCTCTACCCAAAACCGGAGCCTGAGGTAAGTCGCCCTGTAGCCTTGACCGCTCTTTTCGCCCCGCTGCGAGTACTTCTCACTCGCCTCTGCCTGTGTCTCTGCCTGTGCGTGCGAGTCCGACTCGGTGGAAAGAAGATGGTTGGAGCTAGTGCGTTCGCGTGTTACAAGCGGGTAGCGACTGCGGGTGTGAAAGTCTTCAAGCTCGAAGCTTTGGTCGTGGCCGTCGTGTCCGTGTTCGTAGGCACCGGTCGCAGATGCGATGCGTGCCACGGTGCGCCCAACAGCATTCGACGACACGGTTTCGACTCGAGGAAATTTTGAGAAAAGAAAAGGAACGACTCCGAAGTTGGGGACTAGGCCTATTGATAATGGGTCGTTTAGTGGTAGGGAGCTGGAGCTGAACTGCGGCGTCTGGGCTGGGTCGAGTCCCCGCAGCGCTGCTGTGCGGGTGATCTGAGTGGTTGCCTCGTTGGACGAACAAACCAGCGCGGAGGGGTTGAGGAATTAGGGCTTTGGCGTCAGTATATGGCGTGCGCTCATGACTTTGACGGATGAAAGATGAGAATGATCAGATGGATATATTTTGAGCATAATCCTGGTCGATAGTACATAGTATAATGACTACCTTTAGGCTGTCAGGGTGCCTTGCAGCAAACACAGATTTGCCTGATCGGGGATAGCGAGGATTTAGTCATCCACAGTCGAGATACGAGATGAAGCAAAGATAATTTACAATTGCTGATGGCCTAAAATACAATGAATGAATGAATAGATATCACTATTTACCTGCGCTGAGTGACCAGACCAAGATTCGAACGACCCGCAATACCAAGCTTATGCACCGCTTCCCTCCGATCCCACACACCACTACGGCCTTCCGCAACAGCGACCAGCTCGTGAGCTACTCGCTGAGCGAAACTGCTGTCCCGACGCTTATCAGAGGCATCAATGATCCATCTGATGGCCGTCCGCCGCCGCTGTCTCTGCATCAGAGGAACTGGGATCTGCACGGCGGCACCACCACCGGCAATACCCTTCTGCTGACGGATCTTGATCAGAGGTGCGACCGAGTCCACGATCAATGTGAGGTAGAGGACGGGGTTCAGAGGTAGTTGCGGGCCGGGAGGACCAGGGAGGAGGGGGCGCTTCAGGTGCGGCTGCGGGGGAGGGGCAGTTCGAAGATGGTCAAGAATGAAGGACATGTTCTGCGACGACAACTAGATTAGCACCAGTCACAGCCCGCCAAGTCTCGAGCGATGCACACACCTTCTGGGCCTTGCTCAACTTCCCATCCCGCATAAGCAATTTCGTAAACTGCTCCAGCAACGAATCATATCTCTCGCGGAAATTCTCCGTCTTGGGGAGGCTCTCAGGAGCCGGAAACTTCAATCCGGGGTGCAGCTCCGCGACCTCCTGGTTAACCTGGTTAATCATATTGGCGACAACGGCCGCCGAGGGATCGGTCAGGTCCTGACCCTGTAGGTCCGGCTGGTAGCGGCGTGTGAAGGTCGAGAAGGACCGGTTGCCAGACGATCGCTTCAGCTGGTCTTGCATGACCTTGGGCATGTGCTTCAGGGCGTCTTTATCGCGCTGCAGGATCTATCCCAACAGGAGAAATCAGCATTCCGCGACGTAGAGTATCGATAAAAAAAAAAGAAGAAACCTACCTCAGCGACAGGAGTCCCCTGCTCCAACTCCGGGCTCGCAGTAGCCTCGTACTTCCCACCGTGCAGGATCTTGTCCATTTGCGCGGCTTCCTCGCTGACGTGAGGCAACGGATCCTCCGTAGGCCCTTTTATCCCATCCAATTCGTCCTTCTTCTCTGATTTCGACGAGTTCCATCGTCTCTGTGCTTGTACGGTCGATGCGGTAAGAGGCCGGCTGATACTGAAACGCGAGCTGACAGCGGATGAGGTGGATGGGCGAAAGGCAGGCAAGGCCTTGCCCACTGTGAAAAGATTGATACGAGGCGGCATGTTGATTCTCCTCGATGCCTGAATCGACAGACCGTATTTGGAGGAAGAGTGTTCAATTGCCCTCCTCCGTCCTTGGCTTCGTCGGAGCCGCGAAGAACGATTTTCCTCTCCACAGTCGCTTAGTCATCCAAGCCAAGACTCCCCGACTCGAGCATGAAGTCATTCAGTATTTCAGATGAAATGGGCTACAGTTTCACAAGAGTTACTAGAACACGGTCTAGGATGTAGCGATTTACATAAAAGCGGTGGCATCCAGGCCGGACCTGCCATTTTGCTATCCCAAGTATACTCATTAGGAGAACGTCGAAAGAAAATACAAAATACAGGGGCCGAGTAATCAGAACCCACTATTGTGCGTCTGTACAGCAAATACAGAGCCCCCGAAGTCACAAGGGTGACCAGCAGTATTTACCCAGTTAGTGCAATAGGAAAACGAGTTGTTTAGCACAAAGTCAGGGAGCGCGGTGATCAAGTAAAAATCAAGTCAATGTCAGAAACAATGACATCAATACTGAATTCCTGGCTTGAAAGCTCGGCAGAGGGACTGGTCGCTCAATTGGCAATAAGAGCATCGCCAATGGGATCATCAGGGTACACGTAGAACGCTAGCGCTAGGATCAGATACCTATGGCGCGGAAAGTTAGAACATGGCTCATTGATCGAGAGGAGAGCGGACAAACTTACATTCCCAAGCAAAGCCCACCCTCGAGATAATTCGACTTGCCATCCTGAATGAGGAAGGTCACAACCAAGCTGGAGATGAAGAAGGCGACGGTCTCAAAGATGTGGAAGTTGAGAGTCATCTCAACGTTCAGGATCCAGCCCATGATGACAAGGAACGGTGTCACGAACAATGCGATCTGCAAGCTGCTGCCGACGGCTACGCCGATAGCCAGATCCATCTTCCCTTTCCAGGCGACGACGACGGCGGTCACATGCTCCGCAGCATTTCCAACAATGGGAATCAAGATAAGACCGATGAAGGTCCGGCTCATGCCCGTCTTCTCCACAATGCTGTCGATGCTTCCAACCAGGTAGTCGGCACAGACGGCGACAAGGACTGTGACGATAACCAGAGTAATGGTGGCGGCCAGAGGGCTCAGAATGTGCTCCTCTTCTTCATGGTCCGCCTGATTCTCTGCATCGGGTCCGTCCTGACCCTCCTCGAACATCTCTGCATGCGATCTGAGCTGGAAGTACAGGTACATGACGTATAGAACCAGGAGGATGATCGCGGTACCGTGGGAAAGAATCAGGATATTATTATCCGTCGTAGCTTTGGAGTGGGACGGTGACAGAGAGGCGTAGAGAGTGGCTGGGATGATCAACGAAGCAGATGCAACCGTCATCATGGACGACATGGTGGACGCGACAGTACTGTTGAATGTCTGCTCGGAATACCGGAGCCCGCCAATGAAGAAACAGCATCCGAGCACAAGTAGGATGTTCGACAGGATACTACCCAGCATACTTGCCTGGACGACACGAATCTGGTTGTCCTTCAAGGCGATGATGCTGACCTACCATGGTCCCCAAAGTCAGCTATAGTCAAGCATAAAAGAAATCAAACGAATAAACCTACAATCAGTTCAACGGCATTTCCAAAAGTAGCATTCATTAGTCCACCCAATGCCTGCCCCATAGTAGCCGCCAGTTCCTCAGTCGCAAAGCTCAGCAGAGACGCCAATGGGATGATCGCGAGGAAGTTCAATGAGAAGACAACCGTGCTGTCCCAGTGAAGCGCACCGGAGATGATACCTAGAGGAACAAACACGAGCAGCACGTTGACGTAGTCCCGCACAAGGGTCTGCCAGGTCAAGTGCACGACATGCGCGGGGACGTTCAGCCAGCGTCGTGCACGTTTGTGGCGCCGATGCTGGCTAAGGCCTGAGTTGATGCGGGGAATATCATTGATCAGAGCATCGCGCTCACTGGGCTCTCCAACCCCGTTTGGAGAAGAAGAGAAGCCGGTCATACTGCGTTTTTTGGGACCCCACGAGTACCTTCGGAAGGCTGAACGGAAATTCCTCGATGCTGTACCAGATTCGACACATCCGATTAGCCAAATTTCTTGAGAGTTTCGTCTCACGATCCTCCGCAAGAAATGATAGTTCAAGAATCAAAAGAACGACCGCTTGATAGGCGAGAGAGAACAAAGAGAGGCTTGGAAAATGAAAAGAAATTTATGAAATAGACGGAAGATACTCCGTATGATAAAAGAGGGAAAATGAAGGAATGAATAATGGAAGGTCACAAGTGGGGAGTTATGAGAGAAAGGAAAAAACTGGTTGTACTCTGCGTAGTAGCAGTAGCAGTAGCAGTAGCAGTAGCAGTGGTGATGGAGGTGATGAAGGTGTGGCACCTACACATTGGGATCAGACAGTGGCGCGGGAAACGACCAGGGAACCGCGATAGGACAGGAGGGAAAAAGTGGGTTAACCCTGAAATATGTAGGATTGTAACCGGTCAGTCTAGGATTGAATCTGATAGTCCGTCCTTGTCTGGAATCTTGGGACCCGAGGAGAGAAAAATTCTGGAACCGGGGCGAAATTGCAAATGGCAGTTAAGTTAGGTAGTCTAGCTCGTGGTTGGCAAGAGGATTGGCGAACCAAGACAACCGCAGTGGTCTTGTCGCAGAGGGGAATGTCCACTTTTCGCTGAAGAATGAGAAAAAGGATTAGATTAACGCTCACGCGAACCAATCGAGATGATCATGGGCTAAAATCCAACTCAGATATTCTTCCTCTCAATTGGAGAGAAGAGGTCGACGGAAGAGTGCGGTGCGAGAAACTATGTAGATAGACTACAGGATCTGCAAGCATCCAGCCACGTACGTACCTTGACTACTGTGGATATCCGGAGACGTAGGTAGAAGTCTTGTCCAAGAGCAGAGAATTGTCCTGTCAGTCGAGCTTTCAATCTGGGGGAGGGGACAAAACAGAGTAACTGCAGTGAGCAGAGTCCGCAGTGCACAGCCTCAAAGCTGATGCTTTGATCCTCAAAGGAGCAGGAGTTTCAGGTGAGCTTACCCTTGAACAGGAGGCGAGGCTAGAGACCTGAAGCTAACAGTCTCGGCACGCTTCTCAAAGTCTTGACTGCCCAGACGTGGGCGCAGGATTGGAAATTGGCGCTGGCAGCAATGCCTTCTTTAGACGATGCAGCTATGTACTAGAGTGGATGACGTTGACCACGACTGACCCGGAAACGTGGGCCTCAATTGTAGAATTACAAGAGTATATCAAGTTTGAATATCAGCCAGGTACCTCGCTAGATGTATGCAATGATGATGTCGATTATGATGATGAAGTTGGCGCCAAAGTGATGCTTTACAGTGGGGCATCTGCAAAAGCTCCAGCCAGTAGCTTAACTCGCAATGCAGTTGGACATCAAGCAGTTAGATTCATTCTTCTCATAGAGTAGATACCTTAGATATCTAATACCAATTGCAAAACCATACATAGAGTAAATCCGTCAGACTCGTCTCAACACGAAACATCTCCATGCATTCATCTGAGAATCCACGGGAGGACGAGTCACTCCATCCACAGATCTTCCATGCCAAGATGCACTGCCACAATTAGACCCACCACGCAATAGTAAAATCGATCATAGCGCCTGCACTATCCTAGTCGTACCACTGTGGTGTGGAGCAACGTGATAAATCTCATCAATTAAGAATCACATCAGACAAAATCATCAGATAGATTAAAAGAGGAGATAAACCTCAGTGGGATGCTTGGGGTAATCAACACGTGTCTGATGATTGATGCACCCCATGCTGACAGTCCTATCTGCACGCCGCAATGCACCCAGAAAGTATACCTACATCATGTGGCTTCACAACTCACTCATGCTAAGCGCAACCCCTTGTCTGCCTACCTATTCTGTAAGGAGATTGCTTATCATGCGCTGTGTTGTGATCTGGAGACCTGCGCAACTGCCCCAGATTGGCTCGGTTCATTCGTCCGTCACCACCCCTGCAACTCACTTTATATTGGCGCTATCAGATGCAGATCCAACCATGACCTGCTCAGCCACGCCATCTATCTACCAGGCTCTACGGAGTAAGAAGCCCTCGGATACAGAGGCTGACAGCCGATCCAATGGCCCAAGCCACTGGAGAAGCATATCAGAATTTCACCACATCACCAAGGCTAGTCTGACATGTTCAATTATCACATTACTTAAGTCTATGAATATCCTCGAACATCCAGCTCTCATATAGTCCATAGATACATGTGCGCAGAAAGCGTTCATGCGATCACTAAATAAGTCATAAGATACAACGAATTCCTCCGCAATAAGCTTCACGCGTAATACTCCTTGTAGACTAGATGCCAAGCAACATAAACCGCCCGAAGTTGCGGACAAGTTAGGATGGCACAGCACCGAGTGCTAGTACGTGTCAGCAAACGCCTCGGCATACTTTCAGTCGATATACTCACCTGCTGCATAGGCAAGGTACCACGTCCGGCTGGCTCCCCCGTCAATCCAGCTGTAGTCGAAGTTGGGCTGAGTGAAAAAGTTCCACGAAGCGGCTGGGTCCACCAGTGCGAGATTGGCGTACAGTACGCCCTTCCACCCGCCTACCACGTTCTCGGCTGGCGCTGGGCCGTTGCTTGCAAACATGGCATCCCATTCCTCCTGCACAAACTCCTTGCTGCGGACAAACGCAGAAGACGGGAGGATGGGTAGCATATGGATCCTATGTCACAAATCAGCAATGCAGGGTCTCGATATTGCCAATGACAATGAAGGGCACAAAAGTCCATACCCCTGAATATACTCCAGATTGCTGCCAAAGTAAGTAGTATGGTCCACCTTGTTTTCGAACAACTGGAAGAAATTGTGTCAGTTGGAGACTGACCCCACAAGACATACGGTAACAATGCTTGACATACTATGCCCGTGACCTTGTTGGCAATGAAGTTCGCCGGCTGGTTCTTGTTGTCGCTTTCCATCAAAAAGTAATTCCGGAGGCTTCGGCGTAGGATGGCCAGCATCAAGTTGCCTCGCGCCTCCATACTAACATCCCCAATAGTCTTTCCCCACATCTTCAGAGCGTACGCAAACATCGCATCTTCCGACGTCGACTCCTCGTCTTTGCCGTCAAAGGATTCGAAAAGACCCTTTGCCCAAGAATGGCCATGGAACCAGTCGAACCCGCGCGAGAACGGAAAGAGCGGATCATTTCCGGCTGAGTTTCCAGCATCACGGACAAGCATATTGACCCAATCTTTGCTTGTTAGAAGCCACTGAGGATCCATGGATCCTATGATTGCAGCAGCATGGATGAAGTATCCGTAGTGGAAATGATGGTCGTTGTAAAGCGTATTCCCAAAATCAGCGCCCACGTCACCAGAGGCATAGCTGGCAGAGGATACCACTCCTTTCCAGACATTGTCGTAGACAAGGGGAAACTGTTGCTTGTTCTCGATGAAACGGGCAAAGGAGTTCTTCAACCGCTCAAGGCCCTCGGCCGCAAGAGTGCTGTTACCCCCCAGTTTGTCAACTGTATACACGAGGGTAGCAAACTTGCTCAGCGCCTTGCCGCTGAAATACATGCTATTGAGATTGGTCTGAGCATCCATATCTTGTTGAAGTTCTGTGGGAGCTGCAGCTAGGATGACCTGCTGGGCTGCGGGCGATATTCGGTCAATGCTGCCTCCCGAAACCGACCATGGGGCAAAACCCATGGAAATGGGGAGCTCAGGTTCAACCATTGTCCAATATTCCCCTATGACCGCGGTCGCCTGGCCTTTGGTGGTGGTTCTAAGCGTGATATTCGTCGCTCGGCTTTGTGTACTGGCGTCGAACGATTCCATATGATGTGGGAGAGCAAACATCAGCAACGGGGTGTTTTGCGCATCCTTTCCTGCCTTAGCCCACATCAGCTTGTACGTTCCAGTACTCTCTGACACCGAGCCCATGACTGCACCCTCGACAGCATAAACACCAGAAGAGTTATCGTAGAACTTCTCGCCAGATGCGCCGGCCGGGTTCTTGGCCACCTGGATCGTGCCGGACCAGCCGGCGGGCCCGATAATCTCGCTGTTTGACACCAACCGTAGCTCTGGATCAGCCCCGTCGTCAGGCGTTGCGTAGAGAAGCCATGATGTTCCATCCTCAAGGGATAGGCTGTATTTGAATATACCAGCACGTGGCGATCCAGCAGTTACCATTGTGTTGAAGAAGACACCGCTCTGGATCTTAGGCTGCAAGTTGCTGTAAATGCCAGTCACAAATCCCATGCCCTGCACTACAGGAAGGGTGATGCTCTGGGATGAGCCAGCAGAAGGTCGTAGCACCGCGTTGGCCGAGAAAGGGAGCGGATTTTCAGTGGTGAGTACAGTAGATGCACCCAGCTCACTTGCTGACAGAATAACGGAATGGATGCCGATCGGATTGATATAATATGATATAGGGCTACCGGGAATTGCCGTTCTGACCGGGCCCTGCGCGATTACGTTACTCTCGACATGGGAGATCGCCATGCCATAGCTTTGCGACGTTCCACTTCCCTTCACCCAAGCAATGCTGTAGGGGTGCGTAAAAGTGTCGTTGGTTTGCGTTCCCAAGAAGAGCCCCGAATAGAACTTGTTCGTCTCAACAGGAGTGTCCGTGTCGACCTGTATGGATCAGATAATGCCATCAAAAGAACAGGGCTCGGGAGCTTACGATTCCATTCTTAGGTACGGGATGATCGTTTCTTGAGTCAATCGTGTTGGGAATCGGACCAGTCGACACTGGTACAAAGACGTCTTGACCGCCTGCCATAGGGATAGCGGAAGCTACTCATACCTCATCAGTCAACAAATCCGTGGTGTTGCCGATGGTAAACTCACCTGATACTGGCTCACTGGATGACTGACTCTGCTGAACTGGGTCGTCTGACGCTGCGGAAATTGCCGCCTGGGTTTCAACAGAAGAAGTAGCTTCACTGGCTGAAATTGAGTCAGAAATCAAGTTTATGTG